TTTTTTATTTTCTTTTTATGGGGCTATCTCAATTTTATTACTAGAATCATAAGTTTGATGAGTTAACTTAGGTTAAATAAAGTTTTATTTTTTTTTAATTTTTTTTTTACATGGAGCTAGGACCTAGGCCATAGGGTTAATGGATTGACTCGTGTCATTTTTATGTTTTTTTTTAATTTTATTTTTTAGTACTGGACTGATTGAAAATTAAATTTTGTTATTTGTTTCGATTTGTTTTCTTTAAAGTTATCTCGATTTTGTGGATTAGATAGCGGATTTGACATATTAAATCAGATTGTCCTTTTAGATCTCCTTTTAATTGATTTTTTTTAATTTTATCCTTCAATATTAGGTTTTTAAACTTTATAATTTGTTTTTATTTTCTTTATATATGATTATCATAATCTCACAATTCAAGTCATAAATTTGATGTATTAACTCATGTTGACACAAGTCAATTCAATATATTGTTATCTTAACATTAAAAAAAATTTATATTAAATTATTTTATAAGTTAAATTATATTTTTACGAGTTTCTAAGTTGTTTTTGTAATTATAAAATCAATCAAGTTAACTTTTACATAGTTTTAAATTCTTTTACTAAAAAAATATTAGTAATATTTAGATATTTTTTATATATAAAAAAATTAACCAAATAATTGTTGTAGTTTTATGTAATATGTTGCGGTGTCCATGTCATCCTAAAGTCGCATGAGGCCGTTGCCACATCTCTGGCTTCTGCCCTCTTATATTATACTTAAGTTGTAACGCTTGTCACCATGTCCTTCAATTCAATTCATTTCCTTGATTTGTATTTGTATTTTTGTATTTTAGATTTTCTACGAACTCCGATTTTTGTCTTGTCTGCTGATTAAAATACAATGATACGCTGCAAATTATAAGATGTTTTCTATAATGGATTGTGTGGAAGTAAAACGACGGTGGTCGTCGTTGTCATTAGATTTGAATATGTGCGCTTCTTCGAGCCCCATCCATTACCGTGACGGGTCAATAAGACCAAGTTCGCCGCCAAGGATATCG